TCGCCACGCGTGGCAATAGCGTGTCTAAGGGCCTGTTTACATGGAGGTAGGGTGACCCTAGCAGAAGGGTTACCCTAGCAAGCGGGTTACCCTACTTCAATATGTTTTATAGGAAGCGTTTACATGCGCGCTAGGGTTACCCTAGGGGTAGGGTTACCCTATCAAACAGATAGGGTGACCCTAGCAGCAGGGCTATCTTTTTGTTTACATAAGCCATGTAAACGCGTCAGGTAGGGTTACCCTAGCAAGCGGGTCATGTTTTGTACGTCCTACTGTGACAGACAAACAAGGATGGCGTCGCTAGATTATACATATGAACATATCAGCCTGGCGAGCATTTTAAACGACACCAGAAAATAAAAAGGATAAGCAATTTACAAATAAGTAAGCAGAGGCATAGAACGAAGCTTTGACTTTGGACGAGAACGCTGCGAATGAACGGAATGATGTTGTTTCGATAACAAATTGTCAAAGTCCTCAAAGACGGCGAAAAGGAAGCAAAATTCCGGCGCATCCTCATCGACGTCAAAAAAACAAAATAAATGCTCTTGGTCAGCCGAACATGTCGAAAAACTGTTGTGTTGGACTATATCAAGGAATACATTACGCTTATTTACGCAATGCGAGTAATAGACCACAACATTGAAATAACAGACCACGATATTGAAATAACCTCGGAAATAACAGACCACAACATTGAAATGCAGCAAGCAAAGGCCCAATAAATAGAATTGCACAACTTGCCGCTAAAACTTTGCGTTTCGGCGCCATTTATCTAATACAGACCGCTTAGCGACCACGCATAGGTAGGGTTACCCTATCCGGCAACATAGCCCTAGCAGTAGGGTCACCCTCCTCATGTAAACGCTCGCTATTTTCTGACCCGCTTGCTAGGGTAACCCTCCTGATAGGGTCACCCTACCTCCATGTAAACAGGCCCTAAAAGCTTTCGTGTGCGCACGGTTTCTGCTGTAGAATCTGACACGCGAGACGGTGAGGAAAAATTCTATCGTGTTTGATTATTTCGTCCACGCGAGGCAAGAATCCCACCATGTGTCGGTGAGTTATAAGCGCTGCTGTGAATATATAGTAGGCTAAAAAACACGAATCTTTCTCACGTGGAACGTTGAATTAGCCTTTCTGCCCTCGTGAAATATTCTAGACAATTCAAACAACGTAAAAAGCGACTTTTAAAAGTTGTAACTGTACATTTACCATTATACAAACAACTATAATACTAAAAAATTGTATTTCGGGGTGCGCCTGCGGAGACTTTCAAATGGGAGAGGCAGTATCCCCAAAATGGCGGAACTGAAATTGGCCGTGAGAAAGGCTAATTCGGCCGTCGTTTGCGATAAACATATAGAGCTGGGGTTGGGTTAAAATGTAACCCATTGTTTTTGTAATTGTGTGTTTCTTCCAATTCTTCGTACGTTTATTTTAAAACTTCACAAAAAATACTATTGATCCAGGCAAGATTTCTGAAAATATTTTTTCGCGTTTATAAATAAGCTGTTAAAAATTTTGCTTTGACGTTTTAGGTTAACTTAGCTAGGATTAAGCTATAATCGGCTTTTGAACAACCAGCCCCAGTATGGCAGTAAGCTATAAACCTCCACGTGTGGCGATTAACTCAGCCAGAAGCCCAGAAGGTAATTCGTCTGCGGCAGACTTTAAGTTTCAACCCATGTTAGTATAGTTAGTACGGCACTTCTTTTTGATTATTTACGTTTCTAAGTAACCTTATTTTAGCTTTTATAACTATGTTGAAAGAGTCGTTATATAGTAATGACGTTAACACCGAGTCATCGACGCCAACCGGAACTTAATCGAGCTTAATCAGTCAATGTAGCAAGTTAATCCGAGTGAATGTAGCAACCGGAACTTAATCAGTCAATGTAGCAAGCCACATTCGTGATTTCAAAGTTCAAACAAGAACGTCTGTTGCCATCTATGTTTCTAAGTTACCTTATTTTTGCTTTTAAAATGAATAAATAAATAAATAAATAAATAAACATTATTTTATTTACCTAGCTATATTGTCATTCTACGTTTTTAACGTGCGACACTTCAGTCTGGAGCTGAACCCGAAGATTTCGTTTGAGACAACGAATTCTTCATCTGCGTTGCTTGCAGTATCAGAAAAGTATTTTTACTGAAACTAGTTTTTCATATCTCTGAACATGGTTCCTTTTACAATACGAAATGGGGGCTTTCAAAGGCGGCCGATTTAGACTACACAACTTTTGCCTTAAAACTGTCGCATCCTCGGTCGCATCGATCAGTGCAACCTGCTTAGAACTTGAGTCATGTACTGACAGTACTGTGTAAATCAAACCGCATACAACTCATCTACGACAATGTGAGCGAGTTGTGTGCTTGATTTAGTTACAGTGTAACTGAAGTTGTAAGCAGGTTCAGTTACAGTGGGGCTAAATTATGGAATAGAATACCAGAAAATATTCGACTGAAATTCGATATCTTACAACTCGTTTTTGTAAAAACCTTTTCTCCTCTGCCTCCCAATTATTAAGTTAAGTAGTTTAGTTAAGTGAATATTTAATAGCATTTATATAAAAATAGTTTGTATGTATTAGTAAATTAGTCGGTAAAATTGTAATAGTTAGCCAGCACACCTCTCATGGAAATCAGCATAATGTTGAATGAGATTAGTTTGCCTGAATTTCTGCATGCGACAGTTTTAGGCAAACGTTGCGTAGTCTAAATCAGCATCAAGATTCCAAATGATTGTTAAATAGTTCACGCACTTCGAAATGATATTTGATCTTGAAAGACTACTTCAAATTAATTACCCTAATTAATTGATACAAATTGTTACAAACGTACGAGTTAAAAGAACCGTTTTTGAAACCTGGCCCACGCACCACGCATGCACGTCAGTGGGCGTTGTCCGGTTAAGTCGTTGCGAAAATATCTCGAACACTTAAATTGGACAAGCGGCGACGTCGTCACGAGAATAGGGAACTTAAGCATGTAGGACGGTAATACGACGACGACGGCAACCAATACAATGAGCCAATGAAAAGAAATAAATAATTAAAGTCCCGGGGGAGTTTCAGACGTAGTCGTCGCTCTGTCTAAAACGGCAAGTCACAGATTTTCACGTCTTTTATACAACGCTTTCATTTTAAGCCCTGACAAGTGCAAATTGAAATTCGGTTCTGTAGAACTCTTCCCGAACATAAAGCCAATGTTTTCAACATCTTATACTGTATTAAATTCATATACGAATTATAATATAAGACAAGTTTTCTTTACTATCATTTATTTCAAGGAATTTGTTTTGACCGTCGTCGTCGTGTTGCCGTCCTACATGCTTAAGCTCCCTAGTATTCGTGCAGTCAAATATTCAGGATAGGACTCGCTACCAATCCATGGACACGTCGGCTCGATAGCTCAATGGTAGTATAGCGGCGCCCTAGAAACTCAAGGTGCGAGTTCGAATCTCTAAGGGAAAACGAATTTTTCGTTGTTCTCTGCAATTTCAGATCTAGAATTAAAATGAAACTAGTTGTTCATATTGTAAAAGAACATTAGAGTCAGTGGCGTAACGGCGGAAGAGGGGGCCCTTAGGCATATTTAGTGTTGGGCATATTTGGTATTTATATTAAATTGAATATTTATAGAAGTTAAGGTTCTGGAAAATTCCGTGTCTATAACAATAACAATGACGATGACAATAAGGCCCGGTTTAGACGGCGAACTTCTGATGCGCCGAATCTAATAATGCAAGAATTAAGTGCGACGCTGGAGCGGCGTCTAAATCAATTAAGTTCGACAGGTTTTGATTAAGTTCGACATGACTCGAAGATGCGACAAGACAAGTCGTATATGCGACACAGGTTCGACATTGATTTAGACGCCGTGCTTTTCATGCGCCGAACCTAATGCATAATTATTTTTTAACATCATAATATGATTATCATATGTTTGTATTGTAAAATATGTCCAATATCGTGTCCTCGCAATTTGGTACGGTACAATTAAGTTCGACGTCTAAATCAGCTTCCGATATTTTGCCGTGTCTACGACAATTAGATTTTGTTTTGTTTGAGATGGAATAAAAAAATCAGCTACCGTCGTCGATGGAGGCTTTATTATTTAGCATTATTAATTTTGCATTTTCTCCATTGATTATTCACCTGCAGTTTTTACATTTTCTAATTTTCTGGCCGATGACCGTGGCTGATGAGGGCCCGTAACTGTCGGGGGCCCTTAGTTTTTGAACTAATCCTAACCAATGAGCGTTACGCCACTGAGTAGAATAGGCCAAATTGGCTATAAATTGCATGCGTGTTGGTTGAGTTAATTGACGTATAACGACTTTTAAAGACGTTTGCAAGACTCAATGGTTTATGTGAATTCATACCAGTGTGGTTTGGAAACATTTGCAATTCATAATTTCCACAGTTAATTGCAGTTTCTCTATTCTTCGGATACTTCTTGATATTTTCATTGTTCTTTTTCGTTAATTCGGGTATCTGCAGGTACTGCGATATCTATTATCTTGCATGCATTATCTTTTTCTCAATATGGGCTTTTGTGCTTCAATTTAGCCCGTGATCATACTGAATTAATATTCAAGTCCTGCAATACTTTTACTTCATCATTCTCTAACACACTTTGCCGAATGTGTTGATACCATTTCTCATTTCTTTCCAAATTTTGTGACCACGTGCTCTGATGTGCTGTTCTTGCTATGGGTTGTCATGCCCTGTTCTTATAGATTTTCTTTACCATTTTCTTATACACCCACTAAGTATATTTGCAACAACATGCAGCATGCACTTTCACCTCGCTCACAACATTACCTGCATAACATAGAGATTCACTTTTCTTGTCGAAGTTCAATTTTATATGCACCTGCATGTTGTTGAGCTGTACATGTTAATTTCTCTTCTTATCCATTCCCACGATTTTCTCATCTTTGTTCGTGTTTCTGCCATTTCCATAAACTGACCATATACATCCGTTTTTCTCTCCGCTGAATACAATTCTCTTCACTCGGGTCATTAGTATTATTATTTCTCTAATTTAGCCCGTTCAACATTATACTGGCCATTATGTCCTCCTATTGCTGGGAGGTTACCGAGTTACTCATGTTCAAATTTGGTCACGCAAAGGTTGCCACACCTTTTCCACACCGTCCTTTACTCTGGCTGCACCAAGGCTGCACCACCACGCCAAATACTTTTCTTGTCAGTATTGCCGCCCTTGCCCCCTCAAATTGCACTGTTGCATTATATACCAATTATCCTTGTCAGGATGTCCTCACGCTTCCATTCTGCAATTTTTTACAATTAATTTTTTTAAAACTATGCGGGATCGATGACGGCTGCCCGGCCAGACATAACAAAATAAAGCTCTCTGATTGGCCAAGATTTCAGTCATCCAATGGAAGCTAGAGCTTTATCTTGTGACGTCTGGCCTGTAACCGTCATCCCCGATACAGAAGCCGTGGAAGCATTTCGTAAGTGGAGGGGCATTGGCCAAAAGAAGCACTTTTGTATATGATCAAAATCAAACGATTTTATGTCGTTCACGAGCCAAGTATGAAGTCTCTATATCGTCGGAAATGGCCTTTGCAGAGTCTTTATTACTGCCAAAAACGCATTTTCTTTCCAGCAAAAGAGGGCGTTCATTCAACAAATACTTTTTTCGTTTTTTAAATGGGGCACCTTAGCCCAGAAAAAAGGGCACTTTTTTCACGTTTAAAAAAGTATGGGGAGGGCGGCACATGCCCCCATTGCCCCACGGTTCCGCGGCCCCTGCCCCCATATATTTTTCTTCCCACCTACCTTTTCGGGAGATCTATGATTTGACCATAAGGACTTCCTGGTCAAATTACCATGAGCCCCAGCCTCAGGGCAAAGTGATAAAACTACATTTTATGTTTTGAAAGTTTGAAACTCGATGATTATTTAGTTAATTTAAAAAAACTATATCTCAATATTTTTCATTATGATATTATTTTCATGTATCCGTGGCAACCACTATTATACTGTTTTTAACACGAAATATTTCATGTGGTATTTATATACTTCATCTGTTAAGAAAGGTCAAGGGTTGCTGCATGCAGGTATTTCTAGTATTGAAAATAAAAATTAAACTAGAGGACAATACAGTGTGAGTGATTTAAAACTGATTATAAACCATTATTTTATACAGGATTTGTTCTAATCCCAAGAGTAATTTGGTTGATACGCAAATAATTACGTATATAAAGTTCCGTATAATTAAACTGAAAATTGATCCTGATTCACGCGCGTCACATTTTGAAAGAAATTCCTCATTCTGTCGAGCAGTAAACATAAAATTATATATTCCACAAACGAAAGTGAATCGAAAGAATCCCCGCTCCAAAATTCAGGCTTCGACGACTGTCGACTGTGTATAGAGACTGAGAAGTGCCAGACGATTTCGCATCTGTTGTCTACATATCATGATCTGTTTGCTTGCAAAATTATTCTCATATGCATATTTCAGATCTGTTCAATATAATCAATATAGCTACACTGCCATTGAACGTGTAAGTAAAACCCACTAAAAATAGTCAGATCAAAGTCGCGTGCTTTTGAAGTACTATATAGCGATTGCCATACAGTTTATAATTTATATCTCACCTCTCAGGCCCTCTCAGAAGTTTTATGAAATTAATGCACAATGAACAGCAGGAAATGCATGACTGCCAATGTCAATCAATACCGACCCGCACTCAGATTTCGAAGGCAATAGGATATAGCAGCATTCCAGACTTGTAGACAACTCGGTAGAGACTAAATGGATTTGTCACGGGAGTAATTCCACAACGCATCGTGCATCGTGTTGGCAATTGTACAACTTTTGCACATATGTAATTTAGCATAATAGTTTAATACGCTATCAGGAATGAGGATGCCCTTTCATATCTCTTAATGGAAAACAAGGTTTGTTTATGCATTTTTTATAGCCAACTTGATGACATATTTAATCTCAAGAGATTTAGATTTATTTGGGTTCATGTTGGTGGTTCTCCTGCACTGCAGCAGTCGATATTTCGGAGAATATTACACAGAACTGCGTTGCGGTTTTCAAGGGAGAAATATCTTCGGGGGTTTGCACATGCAACCAATACTTATTATCGCAGTCGATGTGCGGTTGATATTATCCCGACTTGCTTCTTGGCGTGATACGCCGACAAAGTCCACGTTCGAACGAATTTGTCGCAGTAATAATTCAGTCGCATCTTTATTTTACTTATATCGAACTGAATATTCATATATTTGTACATATATACGACATGCACTTTTGTCTGTCATAATAAAGGTCACCTGTGTGTTTATCTCATGACTATGTCGTGATTTGTCATTCGTAGTATGCTGGGGGCGCTTTCCCGATTTGAACAAAAAGCCCAGTTTGCGTCAAAAAACCCAGTTTGCGTTTTCGGAATGTCCAGTGGCAAAATGGACCGCTACAGCGTGACGTAGGCCTTGTAAATAATAGGAGGCTTGATTTGCAGGGGAAAATGAGGCAGGTTTGTCAGGCGGGTTAAGTTGATTAAAATGGCGAATTTATACTTTAGCAGTTTCGCAGCTGTGAAATGACAGGAAGGATTGCGGAATTGTTCAGCATTCGGCGAAATAAATCCAGACTCGATCGAGGCACTGAAATGGTCGAGAACCCGCCATTTTGGTTTTGGTGGCGTGAGAAATACAGTATTTCTTTTAAATTTTCTAATTTTTATTTCTTTGAGTTTTGTCCCGTGAGTACAAGACCTTGTGTTCTTATCCAACCATTAATTCAAAGCAATTAGAGCTGTCAAATTACTACAATACGTTTAGCTAATTTGAATTTGAAAAGGTTCGGGTTTTTTTTATACACACTGTACTGAATATTAGCAATTCGATTTTCAATTCCCAGGGGCCTAAAATCTGCAAATTGGATTTCTAAGAATTACAAAGTGGATTTCTTTAAATAGGAAATACCGAGGTTGCGTTTTTTTTATACACCCGGTATAGCGACGGAATAAAAATCAACATTCAATAACATTCACACATGCAACAATTGCCATTCATGACAAAAACTCTATAGTGTAAACGAGTTTAAAATGAAAAGAACCCACTTAAAGGGTTAATTGCATCAGTATATCGTGTTGCCTGTTGTGTATTTTTCTTTTCATGTAACCGCGGTAACAAGTTTTATTTGCCAAGTGCACGCATGTGTATATGCAACACATTTTATATGACAAGTTTTCATATACGACATGTTTTATTTACTGGTGTGAACGTGCCAACAAGTTTACTTTGACAATTTATTAGTAGCCAGCAATGTAATAGAGAGTTTTAGATTGACGTTCTTCATTATTACGGCAAACCGATAGTCGACGTATCCGTTACAAGTTTGCAGTTCGGATTTTAAAAACGATTTAGATTTAGGCCTAAGGTTTTAACTTCCAAAATGTAAACTTAACCGGTGGGCAATAGCATCCCAATCCATTGGCTTTTGCGTTCGGCAGCTTGCAACCTCCCTAGCCAATGCAAGATCATGTTGTATGCTTGGCCACCGAAAGGGTTTCGTGGATGATATTTTTTCCAAGTTCTGTACTAGACACAAACAGATTTTATATAACATTCGCAACAAAAATAGCCTAAGAGTAAAATTTAAATCTCAAAATTATGAGAAAAACAAATGACAACGAAAACAATTTAATCAGCTATGCATTTGGGCTATGCTTTTGCCAGCCATTTTGTTTATTTACATCGACTGAATTCGACACAACAGTTCAGTCGAAGATAGTAGTTTCATATCCTTATTTTATTCAAGAAAGAAAGTCATAGTGATAATAAACATAAATGCCATGTTTATACGCGAGAAAAAGAACAAAAAATTGCATGAAAACCTTGAGGGAAACTACCTACCTGAAAACAGCCTCCCTCGCGTAGAAACGTCTACTTCGAACGTGTAACCTGACGGCAAGATGGCTGTCACGTGATTTTTAGCCGTTTGCGGTTAGCGCGAATTACGAAAATACGTCAATCTAAAATTATGCTGAACCGTAGTGCGTGAAATATTGATGATGCATGCATATACAGGGTGTATCAAAAAAACGCAACCTCGGAATTTCCCAAGAAATCGACATTGTTTTAAAGACAAAAGATTTTAGGCGCCTGGGAATTTAAAGTAGCACAACTGTCAAAATTACTGCACACGCGAGTGCATAAAGCAAAATTTATGCATTTATTTAATGCACAACAACAGTAATATGATCTATTAGCAATTCGATTTCTATTCCCAAGGGCCTAAAATCTTTTATGCTTAAGAATTGCAAAGTGATATCTTAGAAAATTCCGAGGTTGCGTTTTTTTATACACCCTGTACAGTATATTAGAAAAAGGAGACCTTTAGAAATTGAAATAACGTTTAAACACAAGATTGTCTGCTCCTGGGAACAATCTGCCATGCATACTGTACGTAGATCGCATGTTAAGCCCGCCGCACACGAGCGCACTTGTCGCGCGTACTTGTTATTCGTGACAAGTTGGATCGACAAAATTTCGGCCTCGTGTGCGGGCAACATTTACGGCATTGTCGTCATTCGTGACATGTAAACGGTAAACCAAATATCAAACATGTTTGATATTTTTCGTCATTCGTGACAAAAAATTCTCGTTTATAGGACAATTTGTGCATGGGGGCAACTTGCAGAATTAAAAACAACATGGCGGATCAAAATCACGAGCTCGTGTCTTGTTTTTAATTTTCCTATTCAGACGCGCTTGTCGTTTGCTCGCCGCACACGAGAATTTTTTGTCACGAATGACGAAACTATGAAATATCAAACATGTTTGATATTTGGTTTACATGTCACGAATGACGAAAATGCCGTAAATGTTGCCCACACACGAGGAAATTTTGTCGATCCAACTTGTCACGAATAACAAGTACGCGCGACAAATGCGCTCGTGGGCTTAGCAAAGTGCTCCAGGATTCAAATTGTAACAATGGTTGATTTCTAAAGGTCTCCTTTTTCTAATATATGCACTCCATCAATATTTCACGCACTACGGTTCAGCATATGTGCAATTGAAAAGGCATTCAAATTTTAACAATATGGTTAATTTCTAAAGGTCTCCTTTTTTTTTTATACACCCTGTATATTTTATCACAAACTTGGAAAGTCGTAGTTTATAAACTCGCGAGTTTTGCCGCCATTAATTTTGTTTATTTATGAATTATGTATACGTACATTATACGTAGCCAGTTGTGGCGGGCAACAATTTTGCCAGTTGGGGCAGGCAACAATTTTTCACTTGTTGCCCAGCAAGATATATTGTCTTTATCTGAAGCCACGTACGTAACCACAGATCAGCCAATCACGTTTGGTTTTTATCCTAGCTATATAAAAAATATGTATATATGATGTATTAAAGTTGTGATATTGTTCACAGTCAGTAATATATAATAGGATCTAGTGCTCAAGTGAATGCGTTAAATATCTGCTGGCGCGGTTTGCACTCATTCACGTGAGAGCATTTTATCTTCTCATATTACCGAGTGAACGATATCACAACACCATGTAACACTCGCAGGACTATTGCTCAATAAGGAATTGATATAAACATGCTTACGATATATGGCCACTAATGTAAAAGTGCAATTTATTTTGTGTTCTTTTTTAGTCAATGTCGATGCGATTGACCCATTCTACTTCTACTATTCCATTATTTGACCTCGTTGATGATGATGATGAAAATACACTTGTATGCCAGTTGGACGAACAACCACACTTGATCAATATTCGGGATGAGGTAAGTTTATCTGCTTTCATTTTGAGGACAGGATTTTGTTTGAGACGAGAATACATTTCCGATTTATTAAGTATAGATTTATAATTTTTATTACGTGTATGTAAGATATGTTAAGAGCCATGGAAGTCCTTAATTTTCATTCTGCGAAACTAAAGTCCTTATTTTTTAGTAAAATCTGCATAAAAGTCCTACTAAATTCAATGTACTAGCTGTACTTTGCATTTACACAGAATATATCGCGATCTCATTCTCCTTTCCAGACACATCGGCAACTTTCTCCACATGAAGGCCTTCACACCTCATGGCAAGGTCATCATTTCTAGAGCGCCTGTGAAGATGGCGTCATAAGCCATACGTCATTACGCCATAATTATTAGGCAACTGCCAGCGTTTAATTTATGCGTGCAGGAGGTGACGGTTAGTAAGGTATCATCTTGCTTATTATGCTGAAAAATTTCAATAAAAACTGCCGAAACAACCGAAATATATGTTTGTGATGTTACTCTGAGTGCATATCCACACCGGGCGAGCTTGAAAAATATGCCCGGCCACGGTGGGATTCGAACCTACGACCTTTGGAATACTAGCCCAATGCTCTTCCAACTGAGCTACGCGGTCAGGACGGTTCGAGTAAGTGATATTTCGGAACAGTATCTGGTTCCTTCAATACCAATGTGTTCTTGTAATATGAATTTTTTCTGTGCTGGTGTTGTGTACTCAGGTGAATAATATGTTTGTGATGTTACTCTGAGTGCATATCGACACCGGGCGAGCTTGAAAAATATGCCCGGCCACGGTGGGATTCGAACCTACGACCTTTGGAATACTAGCCCAATGCTCTTCCAACTGAGCTACGCGGTCAGGACGGTTCAAGTAAGTGATATTTCGGAACAGTATCTAGTTCCTTCAATACCAATATGTTCTTGTAATATGAATTTTTTCTGTGCTGGTGTTGTGTACTCAGGTGAATAATATGTTTGTGATGTTACTCTGAGTGCATATCCACACCGGGCGAGCTTGAAAAATATGCCCGGCCACGGTGGAATTCGAACCTACGACCTTTGGAATACTAGCCCAATGCTCTTCCAACTGAGCTACGCGGTCAGGACGGTTCGAGTAAGTGATATTTCGGAACAGTATCTAGTTCCTTCAGCACAGAAAAAATTCATACCAGCACAGAAAAAATTCATATTACAAGAACACATTGGTATTGAAGGAACTAGATACTGTTCCGAAATATCACTTACTCGAACCGTCCTGACCGCGTAGCTCAGTTGGAAGAGCCACGGCGGGATTCGAACCTACGACCTTTCGAATACTAGCCCAATGCTCTTCCAACTGAGCTACGCGGTCAGGACGGTTCGAGTAAGTGATATTTCGGAACAGAGTCTAGTTCCTTCGATACCAATGTATTCTAGTATATGAATTCATATTACTAGAATACATTGGTATCGAAGGAACTAGATTCTGTTCCGAAATATCACTTACTCGAACTGTCCTGACCGCGTAGCTCAGTTGGAAGAGCATTGGGCTAGTATTCCAAAGGTCGTAGGTTCGAATCCCACCGTGGCCGGGCATATTTTTCAAGCTCGCCCGGTGTGGATATGCACTCAGAGTAACATCACAAACATATTATTCACCTGAGTACACAACACCAGCACAGAAAAAATTCATATTACAAGAACACATTGGTATTGAAGGAACTAGATACTGTTCCGAAATATCACTTACTCGAACGTCCTGACCGCGTAGCTCAGTTGGAAGAGCATTGGGCTAGTATTCCAAAGGTCGTAGGTTCGAATCCCACCGTGGCCGGGCATATTTTTCAAGCTCGCCCGGTGTGGATATGCACTCAGAGTAACATCACAAACATATTATTCACCTGAGTACACAACACCAGCACAGAAAAAATTCATATTACAAGAACACATTGGTATTGAAGGAACTAGATACTGTTCCGAAATATCACTTACCCGAACCGTCCTGACCGTGTAGCTCAGTTGGAAGAGCATTGGGCTAGTATTCCAAAGGTCGTAGGTTCGAATCCCACCGTGGCCGGGCATATTTTTTAAGCTCGCCCGGTGTGGATATGCACTCAGAGTAACATCACAAACATATTATTCACCTGAGTACACAACACCAGCACAGAAAAAAAAACCCCGAAATATTTCAACATTTACAAGTATAAGCTAACACCCAGTGTTTACACGGCCGCCATTTTTCTTTTTCAGCATAATCAGCAATATGATACCTTACTTCCTAGCCGCTCCCTGCACGCATAAATTAAAAGCTGGAATTTCCTATTTTGAACGCGAAAGTTTTATTTCAGGACTAAAAACTAATGCAAACGTTTACCCTGAAGGCTTAAAAACCTTAAATCAATATATATAAAAGGTCGTAAAAGACAGATTGCTTGTAAGATATATACAATGGATTTCATGACGGCTACCGGTCGCTAAAAAAATAAAACTATAAGCGAATAAAACGACCTGTGGCTATATCAGGTCGACCACAACCTCAACGAATAAGTATAGGGTTAGTCTGGTCCGAATACGTCTCTTGGAAGTTCCATATACTGTACGTCTTGCTCAAAAGCGTCTTATAGCTACAATAACGGTAAAAAGGTACCTATACTGTACTATAATCAAGCAGAACTCTGCAAACTAAACATTCTGTTATAGTACGACATTTTTAAAGTACTACTTTTTGCATAAACTGGTACGCATGTTACACTGGTTTTTAAAGTGCGATGTTTTAAGAATCATAGTTTTTGCATAAAGGAGTTTGGAGGTGGCCTATGCATGCATGAAACCGTTTTTGCGCGACTGCAGACAGCAGCTGAAAATTTTGTTAAGTCAAATTCGATAAGAGACGCCAGAAGGCGCCTTCTCTTCCAAGAATCTGCTAGTCTTTTCATCCAAGTGGCAGTTAATGGGGACCGTATACCTGAGAACCCGTATATATTTTTTATTTCCTTCTAGGCGGCACAGACTCTCTTGATAGCAGCCGCACAGAGTGGAAGCCTGAAAATCTTAAAAGAGCTATTAAAAAGGAATCCCCTAGATGTAAACGAAACAGACCAGGTACCAGTTTAATATTTTTTAAATATATAAATAATTATGCAGTATACAGTACGTTGCATGCCGATGAATTCCTCGAGGATTGTATGTCTTCAGGGTCAAAAGTCCGCAATGATTTCTTTTTTATACAACCAGCCACTGATGGCTGTTGCATGCATGTGCGCTCACGCCATTTTAAAAACGCCATCCCATGCAGATATACTGTACCTGCACAGGATTTCTTCTCTCTATCCCAACGAATTTTTGTCGATGTTCCATACTTCGTATTACCCTGTACTGTGCGTGACCATCGATCTTATACACGCTTCTTATACAGTATGACATCGCTACCACTCTAACCTCAGGTATTTTGCCTTTCTCTGCATACACTCTCAATTAAACTGCCCAAATCAAACGAGGATGCGAGTGCACGAGAGGTGGCAGACACACTACCTTGGTTAACTATTAAATTGACGAAATCGAGGCAGAAAAATATCGCCGAAATAGGCACAGATTAAACTAATTTGCTAAACGATCATGAATAAGCACACTCACATCATAACAGGACGACAGACGTTGCGAAAAGAATGCTGTGCTCGAAATGTGCTCACCCCTTCGATCGATATGAAGTGCATTTCCTCGGGTATCATTGCAGCGATTTCGCTCATGACATTCCTTTCACAAATATCGTCAAAACAAACCTCGTCAAAATTACGTTGTTTAACTGCGATTTGCAATACGTAAACAATTAAGTGACTGCGTCGCCTCATGGCCGCCATTTGTGATAAGAATGAAAAAGATACCCAACTATCATCATGCATTGCGGCCCGATTTGCTATAAGGTTAAGGCCCATTGGTACGACAATTACAATAAACCATCTCCAGCAAAGGAAAAGTTGGAATTGCATCTCGTATCATGGTTACTGGTTTCAGGCCAACCTCAGTCATTCTTAACCCCAAATCCGAGAAGCCTTGGGCAACTCAGGCATAGCAATATGCGCCTCCTGCCAAACCAATGATTGGTAATGTGCACGCTTAACATGGCAATGAAATGCGTCACTCGTGGGTTGTAGAATGTGGTGCTTCGGGTTTTCGTTTCTTGAAAAAGTGTCGAGGTCTTACGTTGTATTATACAAATAATAACACTTGAATTTCTCTCCAGGCGAAACTTTTTTTTATTCATTGGTTCACGGATCCGCCGACCGTAAATATTCAGAAAGTGAGAAATAAAGAAAATCGGATGTCAACAATTTTACGATTTTAGTTGATTCTAGTTAATTCAGGGTTCTGACATGAAGTACACGCGAAGTAAACTTTGACTCTAAGTACTGTTGGCTCACGTTATCGTTGTCGCATTGAAAGTTGGCAAGAAGAGGAAGCGCTAATTATGAAAATTGTGTGCAAACATTGTTGCGTTTTTGAAGTTAACTTTAAAAAATTTACAGTGCTTTTGTCAGGAAATCATGAGGAAGGTCATTGTGCTCGGTGTGCAACAAGCAGCAAAGTCTAGTTAACACCTTCGTTCAACATACTAACCCGTTTGGATGGTGAAGTGTTGGCCCGGGTGACCGAGGGGTGGCCTGGGACGACTACTGGCCTTACTGTTACTTGGACTCGGGTTAAGATCCATGTCAGTGGCATCTTGAGCAGACCACCCCCGCAGGGCCAACACCTTCACACCAATTAACAACTGGTGGAAATATAAAAGAACAGGAGGAGAAAAATCTTTGTTCCTGATACAGTACGCATTTCCTACGCTTCCAACGCACAATGATTACTAATACCACCAATGCGCGGCCAACCTCTTATTACATACTCGCCGGGCCCCCTTTTTGGTCACATGATGTGCTGACGTAACGAGGCTTGGTTCCCTAGCTGTTAACTTTTGTTATTGCATAACCTCGTTTATAATGTTGTGGTCAAGTGTCAATTGGGACGCACGTCGTATTCCTTTTCCCAGTCACACTTGTATCCTCTGTTTATTGTAGATGTATGCGTAATGATTGTGTTGTGACAAATGATTAAATTAAATTAAATTAAATTTGGTTCTCAGTGTTTTTTTTAATTTTTTTTCCGAGCTACCGACCTGTTTTTTTTAAAGTCAAATCCGTAAACCAATAAATAAAAAAAGTTCCGCCCCACTTGGGATGTCGTCGTCATCGCAATGGTGTTCACCTATGTAGTTTGCATGACCTTTGTATATGGCCTGGCATGTACGAAGCCGTGCTACGGCCAGGAAGGGCGTGAAATGGTATAAGAGCTTGCGCAGAATTTGCAGGTAGTTGACTGGCAAGTTCATGTACTCAGGAATATATTTCGTTTCCTTGACGTTCCCGAGTTCATCCACAAATGATTACACTGCATTCTGTGAAAATGTGCCAGCAGAATAACGAGAACGTCTGATCTCGTGCGGGAACTACGACGTTACCACTGGTATGGCATGAACAGCTTTATCCTCGTATCGGCTTCCTCGTTGTTACTCTTGATGAACGAATTTCCAATTCATTTTTAGTGAACCCCCCACACTGTATAGCTATAGCGCATATAGGCAACACACATGCATATGCCACATTCAGTAATATACAGGGTGTAAACGCGCTATTGCATCTGAATTACTCTGCGTACGACCGAGATTTTTTCATATTCGGAACGATCAGGCTTTTATCTTTTCGAATGATATTTTCTTCATGCGAAATGGATAACAAATGAGCAAATACTAATCCGATAAAAAATGCTAGTCAGAATCGCATATTTTCACCGTTGAGAGTTGGTTCTAAAACCATTGAAAATTGACCCCCTTTAGGACTTGTAAAGTTGAAGAAAATTCACTTCAATAAACTACGCACATATTCATAATTATTATTGTGTAGGAACAAATCATAGCTAAGCTACGAGAAGTTCGTTATTAATTGCTTTTTCTTTTGTTATGCACTGCTTTAATTAGGCACAGAGGTGAAAATATGCGATTCTGACTAACATTTTTTCACGGACTCATACTTGCTTATTTTTTTCTCCACTTGGCATGAAAAATATGTCATCTATTTACAATAGCTAAAAGCCTAATCTTTCCGAATATGAAAAAAAATTGGTCATACGCCGAGTAATTCACGCACAATAGCTAGCGCGCTGAAGTTCGATTACCTTTTTTTTATACACCATGTATGTTGTACATGCATTACCATAATAAACAGCAGTTTTCACCATTAAAATAGGTCTGGTAATTACACGAAATAAATTATGGACCGTGAAATTCGTCTTCCGCGTATTAGAAATATTTAAGATACACCGGTTCCAATATGCCCTTGGCGTTACAATTATAAGAGCAATTTCCATTACTGAAACCTGCATGTCTGTCATGCTATATTAGATTTTTAACAGAAAAAAGTCATTTCAGTGCACTAGTGAGAATCGTAATAATACTTTTAGGAATATAACATAAAACCAATTTAGATAATCAGGGGTCTGGCCTAACTTAAATTGACACATGCCAAAAAAAGGCACTGCCATAGGAGGGGGGCACTATACTTGGGGACCTGGTAACATGCTCCCCCCAAAAAGTTTGGAAAATTAGATGTTTCTGGCTGGCTAAAAATGCATTTGCCACACAACATTATATAGTCTATATATACATTTATACACTATTGCACTATTACAAGATAGATGCATGCACTTATACAATTGAATTTCTGAGGTCATACAGTACATGTAATATTCTTTCTATTTGTTAAAATTTTTTCTCTATGAATTTCTCTTTTTATTATCTATATTTTACAATTATCTTTTTTTTCTTTCTTGGGGAAATAATTGTCTTGCGAACTCAAAACATTTTCTCATACCGTGGTCCCATATACGTTTTCCATCCCGAATTCTAATAAGCTGGTATAAAACATATGAATTCGAAATGTTTTATATTTCTTACTATAGGATGAAACAACAGCATTGATCGCTGCAGCGAAAGAGAACCATGAGCAATGTGCCATTGAACTTTTTAAGAATGGT